TAACGATTTCTGTTTTTCTCATTGTTCCTGTATTTTAATGGTTTGTCCTTTATTTTACCTTTTCTTCTTGCACTTTTTTCATCCTGAAATGTACCTTGTTATGCTGTTTAAAAAAAGATTAACAAAAGGACCATGCAGTGTCTTTTTTTAAATATATTTTTTAGGGTGCGTGTTAGTTCTGAGGGTAGATCACTCGTCCTGTGATCAGATGGTTGTAAGATTGATTTCAGTTTCCTCCTACCACATGTTGAGGTGACTAAGGGCAGGACACTCCACCCCACGTTGCCCTCCATCTGCATGTCGGTGGAAATGTGTGTGGGTGAATGTGACTGTAGTGTGAAGTGCTTTGAGTGATCAAAAGGATTAGCAAGGCACCACATAAGTTCAGTCCATTTATCTTTTTTCTTTGATAAATCCTGTTTTTTTTTATACCAAAGTATAACAAACTTAACAAAAAAATGTGCAACTTAATGTGAAAAACTGAGTAGAAAAGTCAAAAAAGTACAATCCATGAAAGTACTACAAATCAATCAGAAATCATTACTACTACAGGAAGAAAATCGACTCTTAAATGAATTCCTTGCTATAAATATAAAGCTTATGTGTTGTGCTTATGTGTTGTCTACTCGTATAAAAGAGAAGAAAAAGGGGCTAAGGAACACCTGAGTCAGTTATTTTTTGACATGATGTTAATCAGCTTTACAATAAGACTGCAAATTATGTTTTGTTCAACATCTGCAGAGGCTGCAGACTTCAACACAGTTGGGTTCAATTCCAAGTCCTGGGCAACCTGCTGCATGTCATTCCCTTCTCTCTCCTCCCAATTTCCTGTTAAACCAGTGTTTCTCAATTCCGGTCCTCAGGCTCCCCTGCCCTGCATGTTTTAGGTGTTTCCCTTCTGCCACACACCTGGATTGAATATTTTGGTGATTAACAGGTTTCTGCAAAACTTGATGGTCATGCAATCATTTGAATCAGCTGTTCTGGAATAGAGGCACATCTAAAACATGCAGAGCAGGCGGACAGTGAGGACCAGGGTTGAGAAGCACTGTTTTAAACTGACCAAAAAAGGTCAGAATAGGTTTAGCACCACATTGTGCTCCTTTCTTCATGTTCAAAAACAGTCAAAAATAATACAGCTCTTTCTTCCTCTATCTCTCATTCTCTCTGTTTCTTCAATAATTAGTAAGTTACTTCATACACACACACAAATGTGCCATTTTAATATTATGTTTCGCACCTCACCGCATATCAGTGACGTGCGGTGAGGTGCAAAGCTGGTGAGGCATTTGCATGATTACTTATGATTAAGTAATCATAATCAGATATGCAAATATTGACCACCTGCATGTTATTGTTTACATAAGGAAAGTTCGCGCATGCGGACAACCCTGGAGGGCAAAAAGTCTGTTCTTCTACATGCCATCCATAGCCGCGCTGCTGCGGTAGAACAGCTCCGTTAACTCAATGAAACTTGAACATGTGGATATTATTAATTTCGTGCCGTGCTCCACAGCAAAGGGGAAAACCTTTCAAGTACAAGTCAAAACCACTTCTTTCTCGCTCTCTGCATTGCCCAGGCTACACGCAGACTCGTTGCCATAGCCCCTAAATAAACACTCGGATATTTCCCACACAAAGAGCAGAACATGCAGTCTGTTGCAGTAGTATAGTTTTAGGCTTAATGTTTATTTTGTGATTATTAATAAGCGATTGCTGTGGCAAGATGAGAAAACTATAAATATATTGCTGCACTTGACTTTAGTGTATGGCTAGCTCCATGGTTAGCTCGCTGTCTCTTACTCTGCAGTTGTGGAGTCACAATATCTGGGATCATGAGCGCCCCCTGCCATGAGGCAGGAGAACTGCCTGCCTCACCTCAAATTGTTCTCTGCCGTTTATGATCGCTCCTCAGCACACAGTTGGTGACAATAAACACTGTACATTATATAGATAAGCTAAATTATGGAAAATCAGTTCATACATTACATGTTTTTTAACCATTTTATTGGCGACGTACAGACAGGAGGAGCATGTTCTCATAGATACCTGAGTCATGACATAGTTTGAAAAAGTAACTTTATTCAGATTACTGATTACTCCTTGAAAAAGTAACTTAGATTACTGATTACTTGATTTGGAAAGTAACTAAGTTACATTAAAAGTAACTTTTTTAGTTACTTTCAGCAGCTAAGTGTGACAATCTAATTAAATAAAGACATAATAAGCACAATAAGGCAAACACACAAACACTACTTCTACACCCTTCTTCCACAAGAGAATAGGGAAATATTTCTGCATAAGAAATTAACCTGTAAGCTGATTAAAGGTTTAACTTTATTTAAAGTTTATTTTATCCCTCACAGCTTAAAGAAATGGCTTGCGGCCTATTTTAGAGTTATAATAAATTATGTTGATTTAAAAGGGAAGAGTATGGCAGGAGAGAAAAAAGCACATTTTGGAAACGCCTGCACATCCAACAAATTTAACTGAACAAAAAATATAACAAAGTGCAGGAAAGACGGTGTCTGGGCAGGCCATGCATTGGCTTCTGAGATATGCAGAAAGGTGTTTGCTTTAGATGTGGAATCAATCAATTCTTGAAGAAAGTGATGCTGAGCTCATTGGAGGTGTTGAAAAGATTTTGAGAAATGGAATTTTTTTTTTTACAGATTTCCTTTGTGTTGCATTTTGTCAAACCCAAAATCAAGAAACAAATGTTAGTATCAGCAAAATACAAAGAGATGTATTCAAATTATTCATTACTAAAGGAAAGAGAGGTTTCTAAACCCACCTGTATGTCACAGTTATTGTTTTATAACCCACATTATTTTAATACATTTCCCAAGTCAAACCCAAGTTTGACATAAAAGACCAAAATACAACCAGTGTAACAACAGGAAGTAAGTTAAACAATTTCTATGAGCAAGAAATCACATTTTGATTAAAGAATTAAAGAAAGATGAGATGAAAATAATTAAAATATATCAGATGGAAAAAAAAATCACACAGCCAAGACTCTTCTTTCATTTGCCCAAAACTAACTAACTAATGCATTCCATGATAAATGGCGTCTAAACTTGACACCGAAAGTAAAATTCATAGAAAAGTATTCCAGACAAGTTAATGTTTTAGGTGATAGATGGTGTGGCCCACACACAGCTGGAGAAGAGATCTACAGTCTAAATCCAGAGGAGAACCGTACACAAACTATAAAACTAAACGAGTGGTGAAAAGTCTGATTTAAAGCGCACCATGTCTGTTTTTGTAAAAATGGGATATAGTCATACAAGGCTGTCTGAGTGCCTGAGAAGCACAAACATTTCAGCTCCCTTCTTCTGTGTTTTACAGTGAAGAAAAGGAGGTGAAAGTGGAAGAAAAGACTGAGATGACTGACAGTGAAGCCAATTAATGTCAGCACAGAGCTGTGATTTTTGAAAAAACACCAAATAACGACCTCATTTTGTTCCGTCAAACCCATCAAACTTCAACATTTGTAGTTTTTACAAGTTGGAAAGCAGATTTTGAAACTGGATAATCTATGTTGGCTTGTTTAAGGATCAATGATTATCTTCAGCAACATGTTAGTTTTGGTTTCATGAATGTCTGAACACACCAAGAGTCAAAGCATATTCCACAAAAACAAGCATTGATAATGGATATAAGTATATTTGCCTTCATCTTTTTACAGGATCAGTCTGTATCATTACACTAAGTTTGTTGGAATGGAGTAAACAGCAGCAACGTCTCAGTCACTTACAAACATCTTTGTAAATGATTGAGCCAAAAAACTCAGAAATTGAGATAAATTTCAGAAATTTTCTAGAAAAAAAACCTCAAACTCCAAACTTTTTAAAGTTAATTTTAAAATCTTTTCTTAAGTCTTTTCCTAGCATTTTTTTTTTACTTTTGGGGTTAAAAAATATCCATGTTTGTTCTAGAAAATCTCAAAATGTGAGTTTTTTGGTGGCAATGTACTCTTTTCTTGTTTTTGCCATCTAGAATGGCCCTAACACACCATCATGACCCAGCGGACTTTTACAGAAAAGTCGAGGTTGCTGCACCAAATTAGCTTTTAATTTATCCTACTTTGTGTGATATAGCAAGTGTTTTTAAAGAAGGCATCCCAAATCCTATTTTTAAAACTGAAAATAAATTAGTTCAACTAAGTGGTGAATTTGAAAACTTTTGGACGATATGATAAAACCAACAAAAAAAGAAAAATCAGGCTACTTTGTTTTTTTTAGGCTTTTTAAAAATCTTCTTATTGGCCCATGAATTACTTTTACCTGACGATTTTGGACACCCTGCTCTACAACTTTGTTTCTTTACTTACTATCGTCTTTTTCTTTCCTCACTGTGTTGCGTGAGCCAGGTTGGTTCCGTCATGGTTTTACGGGGTGAACTGGGACTCCACCAGTAACAAATACCAGAGTGTATCCAGTGAGTTACAAATGGATAACAAGGTAACACAACCAGGCGTCTCGGGACGAGCTGGAAACCCGTTTTATGTCAAACCATCTTGGCACCGTTTAAACCAAACAGAATTAATAGTGGTCATGATCCGATATCACTTTCTGCACTCTGGCACACAAACTGTGCTGCAGAGAAAAATGACCTCTCCTTTTAGAAAGCTCACAGGATCTCGCCTCTTTCTGGCCATGGAGGAAAAATAACCATGTTCTGGTTGGCGGGGGCCGCGGTAAAATATTTATGGATTTCACTCAGCAGGAAGTCCAGAGAGCAGCAGGAGTGAGAGGAAGGAAGAGAGAGACAGATAAACACCAAACCACTCTGGACACTCCCCACTTATCACTCGCGCTGCTCTTACGTGGAAAGCAGATGAAGACGTCTTGTTTATCCAGAGCCATTTGTGAGATGAAGAGCAGACGACGCTTTGTGCTTGTAATGTGAGCGCTAATGTGGAAACTTGAACAGGCGTCATTACGCCTTAAGTTTTCATCTTTCTCCTTTTCAAGAAACAAAACAACATACAAGTGGTGGGTCTAACATGTGGACGTTTATTAGATCATTTCAAGACACATAGTAATTCTTAGTAATCTGTTCATACATAGGTTCATGCATAAGGTTTGCTTACTTTGACATGAAAAATGTAGAAACCAAGTACGAAGGCCGCCCCAGAAAATGCACAGTACGACAGCAACTATCATTTACTAAACGAAATGCAACCTTTGAAAATCCCTTTTGAGAAAATGCATCTTTAATCCCATCGCATTCAAAACAGAAGCCAAAACATAACACCATGCATTGGGTTTCACTGTAAATGGTCAAACTACGATAGTTCACTTAATTCAAATTGGCACAGGGACTGAGCATTACTGACGAATGACCTTTGACCCAGATTGAAGTTGTCACAGTACTGAGAGACTACAGTGCCATATTCTTGTACATTTTAAATTTACAGTGAATTTTATTGTTTTATTTAACATACATGTGTAATTGGTTGCACTGGATTATATTTAGGAGTAAAATGGGATAAACATCTTCAAATTGTTTGCATTAGCATTATAAAACCTTATAATAAGCATAATAAAGTCTTATAATAAAACACACTGAAACTGAAGTTTTAGCTCAAACATCAAACAATTTTCAGAGGTTTTGAATATTTTTTAAGGCACTTTGTACACAGATGTGAGACACAAGCAGAAACGCAGAAACTACAAAACTGACAGATCTTTAAAGAGAAACACTGCAGCTTTAAGTGGTTTACATTTGCAGCATTTTCTTCTTTGACATGTTCATACTGATACTTTTATCGTTTCTTTATGAAATCCAAACTGTCTCTATTAGTGCTGTCCACGGAGTTTACTGGAAAACAGAAATGTCTTCACAAAATACACATTTTCAAACAGAAATGAATGGAGTGTTACTTTATCTGGAATATAAATGTAGCTTTATTGTTTTAGTAGAAAAAAGGCAATACACATTTAAAACAAATTTAAAAGTTCACAGGTGTAGAAAAATAGCCCCTTATATGTTATTTGCACCATGAGAAAAAAAAAAAGAAAAGATTTGACCCGGGTTTACTTCACAAGGATTGGGTTAATAAAACAACCCAATACAGATATTCACATGAATATTAAAGTAGTGCAAAATCAGACAAAAAGCTTAAAAGATTTATTTTTAATTAAATTAAATCCCTTTGGATCCCTTCGTCTTTAAATTACCACCAAACCAAAGCCTTTGTAACAAGCGCACCTTAAAAATATGAATCTTAAACATCGCAAAAAGAACTTCAAATGAAACGCGATCGATTTCAAGGTGAAGATGATCACATTCGCTTATTTCAGAAAACTGAAATGCTACAAGCACAAATAATTGCAAGTGTGGAATAATTTATTGGCACCTCAGGTAAAAATGTGAAAAACTATAGTATAACCTGTCAAACAAACATTTTGGAAAAATAAAACCTTTAATTTGAACACATTTATTATAGGATGCATCTATTAAGGTAATTCACTTCTGACACAATCCCTATAAAATAGATTTATTTTTCTGATTCATGCTTTAATTGTTGACTTGAGATCATCTGAACTCCCAGTCAGAAAACCAACACTTCCTGTTTCCCTGGGGAATAAATACAGTGCGACACAGAAGTCGATTTCATCAATCCACTTCTCCCCACGCATAACAATCAAAGAAGTGAAAAGAAACAAAATAAAACAACTAACTCCCTCCGAAACTCATGGTTAGAACATTTTGGGGTCATCAAGTTTTTATAACAATTTTACAGAGCGCGTAATTTGGAGTTTGACTGATTCCAAAAGATGCCTTTTGTCTGTTACCATGAAAAAAACAAGTATGTTGAGTTTGCTAAACTGAAATCATTTGCTTTTAGTCAGATGACAGTAAGATGATGCTTCTTTGGCAGCTTTGAAATAAAAATCTGAAAACACGTCGTCACAGGATCTTTGAGCAGAAAAATGATGCAAAATAAACTTTTCTTTAGCTCCATCTCAGTTCCCTCAGACCTACATCGACAGAATGGAGAACTTAAGAAAACTCAGGACTCTGGAGAGATTTTATAAAGACTAAAACATTAAGCTTTGTTTTATAGCCAAGAAGGAGGCTCAAAATATTAACAGGAGTACCGACTGTAAAACTGCTATTTTTCTCAAAATAATTATATCCTAATTTAATTTATTTATGATTGAACACATGCATTTAAATTAATGGTTGTATTTTTCTAATTTACAGGAGTAATATTACTCAAGTGCAACACAGGATGAATTTATTTTAAGGCTTTATGAACATTTTTGTCGATAAATGTGAGCATATGCTGGAAGGAAACCTCATCTAAACCGCCAAGAAAAATAATTTATTATGCTAATGTTGCTTTCATGGAAACATTTGGTTGGCCTGCATCTTAAGCTCAGTCAACTTTATAATTTTTTTGCATTGCATAACAGAGAGATTGTTAGACCTGCTGCACATGAGGTTGAAGAATCTCGTTTTGCATTTGGAGCTAAAATCCATCTGCTACTGTTGTCATATGAAAACCCTGAGGTTACTCTTTGACATAGCAGTAACCATGCATTTATGTTTATAATGATTAAAACAGCTAAACCTGATGAACTCCAAACCAACATCAATACCGCATTTTACAAATGTTACAAACTAACCTTGAGCTAAATTGAAATTTAGGACATTAAAGTTCAGGGACAATGTCTTAAATTTCAACAGGCTTTACAAAACTGAGCAACAAACAATTACTAAAGGATTTAACCGTGAATGAGGAGAAAACACACAAACATTTGAAAGTGTCATCAACAAAACACCTGACAGATGTATGTAAAGTCTTTGGTTTCTATGTTTATACCCCTAGACAAAATGGAGATACAAACAACAGTTTAAGAAAGGGGAAGGAAAAAGAAAGAGGTGAATTGCATCCATTTGGTTTAGCAGACACGCAGTCTGTCAGCTGGAGTCTGTGTTTACTTATCTGGCATACACTTGTACCATTTGGAAATTCGGCCCCGCTTAACATTTGCGTTGTGAGTCAGCTGCTCCTTCATATCGTTGGACTGCTGGTCCCACTCACTCTTGATGTCCGAGACCCGATTCCTGTACAGCCAGGTAATGAGCACCCCAAAAAACTGAACATAGACAGAGAGAGGCAGTTGGAAGTGAGTGTAATTAATGCATCCAAGGCTGGAATTAATTCGTCACTTTCTGTAATTTAGTCTCGCAAAGAAATCAGAAGTCCTTTGTTTTCCATTACTAGTCTGAAAGTTTAAGCGTTTGTCCAAGTGCATCTCAATAGAATTAGGTCAATAAGAAGTTAGGCAGTGGGCTGGGCTTCCCTGGGGTTGCTAGGCAACGGGCTGGGCTTCTCTGGGGTTGCTAGGCAACGGGTAGTGCCTGTTGTGACGCTAAATTCCGGAGGTTTTTGGAACGGGTCATTTTTAGATACCAAAAAACATTAACGTGCTGCCAAAAATGAGCTGGGGGATATTTTTTAAGTGCTTGGTCTGTTTTTGAAATTAAAACATTGATATTAACACATCTGTTTGAAGACTGTTTAATTTTCCAGCCTATACCAAAACTTTTTTTTTTTTTTTTTTTTCTAAACCATGCCCTTGTCTTTGACATTTCAGGTTGCCAGGGTAGATTTGCTCTAAAAAAGATTTCTGGAGATGGTATCCTAATTGCATGGCTGACTTTATTAAATCCAGACTGCATCCAGCATCAAAGTGGGCTGGCAGCCTTTATGTAATAATAACCTGTGTTTGTATGACCTTAAGCCATTTGGATTATGTGTGTGTGTCTGGGTGAGCGTATATGTAGAAATAATTGTGTTGAATGGGTGTATGTGAACAATGCAGTTGTTAAAGCTGTGGAAGGAAAGAACAAAGAGGAGGCGGCCTCGACTCCAAAAGGCCGCAGCACCGCAGGTATAGAGACAAAAGGCAGTGCTTAAGGCCAGCCTGCACCCCCACACAGGTAGAGCATCAATAAAACTAAAGTGCAGCAAAGACGCAAAACATGAGATGAAGAGGCGGGGACTCAGTGCCCCCAAATTTCTGTACTGTATAGGGATCCAAAGAATATATTTCCAGAATTTCACTGAGTTTACATATCTTGTCTGTTGACCCTTTGCACATTCTTCAGAACCTGGACATCTAAACAACCTAAGCCTGTCAACAAACAGACACCTGTAGCCTAATATCGCTTCCATTTGATTTCACTTCAAAAATGGCCATAGGATGCTGTGCAGTCGGCTGCACAGAAACGGATGAAAACAAGACTTGTCGTTTTATCGTATAACTTTTAATGAAGAAAGATACAGCAATGATGGACAGCAGCAGTCAATCATAGTGACTGTCCTGCTCTTGGTGTGAACACTTTTTACAAGAAGATTAACATTCATATACTTTATAAGTAGTTATGATTAGAAAGATATCAAATATTGATTTATGGAGAAGGTACAGGTCTAACCATTGGTAACCATGGAAACAATGCCCTACCATCACGGAGCCATGTAACGTATGAGAAAAACTGGTTACCATCTCGTCTTTTGTACGCTTTTAAGCCTGCTCTGCTGTAAGGAGAAACATGTTTATGACATGGTGACATAAATCATGTGGTAAATTCAGACAAAGTTGATAATTTCATCAACACGTTAAAGGAGGCAGGAAGTACGGGTCGGTTTCTAAGCTAACTATTTCAATCTTCTGCAAGTCCCAACATCTATGAGCCTCAGTCAGGTGCGTTACGTTCAAAGACAAATTATCTCGACACAAACAAGTAGAAACCATGAATAAACTCCCAAAAACTCTGTTCAGTACTCCTGTCCCTCACTTCTGACATCTGTTTTGAATGATTAAGTGAGGTAGTTGCAAAGGGTCAATCGGTACTTCCACAGAGTGAAAGAAGCATATTGTGAAACATTTCAGCATGCTGCTGAACATCAGCATACAAAGAGCGAATAATGATAGACTAAATGGGGCGACTGTGGCTCTGTGGGTAGAGTAGTCGTCTTGCAATCAGAAGGTTGTAGGTTCGACTCCACCTTCCTCCCGCCACATGTCGATGTGCTCTTGGGCAAGGCACTCAACCCCAAATTGCCTACCAAGCTGTGTGTGAGCGTTTGTGAGTGCAAATGGGTGAATGTGACTCCACTGTAAAGCGCTTTGAGTAGTCAAAAATGATTGGATAAAGCACTATATAAGTTCAGTCCATTTATTTATAATACACTTTGCATCTGTGCTCATACTGTTTTTATTTCATTGCATAATAATTGTGTTGTGGTGCTCTGTCCAGTACCTGCAGTCTGCACTATTATATAGCTTAGCTCGGTGTCGTATCGTAAGTGTTTCATATCAGTCAATATCAATAATTATTGATAATTTGTTTTGCTTTAAATTTCTGAAATACTTTCAAACTTTCCTGTTTTACCTACAATTTCCTTTTGAGCTGTTGTTCTCATTTTCTCATTTCACTCCAAGCTGTTTTTTCTTTTTTAAATTACTTTTAAGTAGTTATGAGAAACAGTGGCAAAACCGTAAACTGCTGCTGTGCCGGTTACCGAAAGGTTGTTGCTAGGCAACCATAGAACAAGTGAGTTGCTAGGTAACCAAAGAGTGAGTGAGTTTCTTAGCTGGCCATGAGAGGTTGAAGCTTTTCCTCTGCTAACTACACCCCAGAATGCTTTGCATTTGTGGATCAGGGTTCAGTGAAATTATTGAACATTTTATCAGACATTATCTATTGATATTGATCACATATCTATTGTGATATATTGTTACCGAGCGATTTTGAATATTTAAAATGTCTTCAAGCTTTCTGAACTTTGAGAGGGTGTATTTACATTGTTACGCCATCGTCATATTATTTGAAAATTGTCTCAGAATGACAATATTATTGTTTATCATTATAATTTCTGGGGCAATTTACCATCCAGTAAAATCTGTAATTTTGACATGCCAGCACAGAAACTCTATTTTGCTCCAGGAAAGAACAAACCAGCAACAATTATTCATAATCAGGGTTAAAAATGAACTTCTTTAGGATTTAGTTGCTTTTGTAGGAATGTGTCAAATGCTCAATAAGTCATGTTGCACCTGCTGCAGATTTCCTCTGAACAATACACTTGATTGAATTGGGTCTTGTCACTTGGAATGGAAATGAAATGAGGAAAATGAAAATCTTCTGAGTGACGGAACAGATTAATCAGTTTTGCGCCACCTGAACATAAATAACGGTAATGAGAAGAACCCATTATGTGACATCAATGACTGCCAGGCGGCATTTGCTCCACATGGCAGAAACAGCTTGGTGACAACCAGCAAGCTTCTTACAGTCGCAGCCGATCAACATTCATGTATTCATAGCTGTCAAAGGGGCTCATATCTAAATGCATTGTGTAATTTTCAAGAAGATGTACAAGGGCAGAAATGTCAGGAACAAAAAAGGTCCCAGGCGTCTTGCATCCAAACCGCAGAAGACAGATATTTAATGCAGAGTGGGTTAGTAAGTGTCTGTCGCTCCAGAATGGTGTTCTGACAACATAATACAGTATGTATGGAAATGCACAGAAAATGTAAATGAAATGAAGCAGCATTTTGTTACAACTGCCCTTCTGTTTCTCTCACTGCTGATTAAGTGGAGCCGTCGCATGTTCAGGGGAAACGAGGGAATGTATTTTCTGACGTTTAGTCATCAGATTTGCATCTCAGGCTGGGAAATCCAGACAAATGTTTGATCCTAGATGTGTTTCTGAGTCACAGATGTGTTGAATTTAAGCTACTTTCTTGAAATGCCTCCTCCTCGTCTCGCTGTGATTCGTGAGGAGGCTGGGACAGGCGTGGGAGGGGGTTTGACGAGACATTTTTACACCACTTGGGTTGGGTAGTCAGAGAGCCTCGAACTGTCGGTGGGTGTAAAAGTAAACAAAATGATATGAATCAAAGTTCTATAAAGTTTATGTGGGATCTTAAAGTATTGCTTTACAAATAAAAAATGTGAAACATGTAGAATGCATGTAGTTTTTCATCATTCTCATTTTGATGGAAACTGGAAAGACCGAAATTATTGAATAATGAGACCAAAGCTGAATATTTCATGTCTAAATACAACATGCTGTCTGTAAAGAAAAATACAGTTAAACATGGTGGTGGCAGCATTATGGTGTGGGGAGACTTTTTATTTTAGCCGTTTCATTTTGTTTTCATGCATCATCATCATCAGATTTTATTTTAAAATAACTGGTTTAATGTTTTTTATCGCAATTACTGCAATATGAGATACTTCAGTGATGCAAAACATGTATCAGAAAAGCTTTAAAAATAATCAAAGTTTTTCTTTACTCATTCATCTTAAAAATTTAAATGTACGCAGTGATATAAATGTAAAGGTATTCATATTTAATGATGTTGATAATCGTCTTGCAGTTTATGAAAATCTGAAATTGTTTCAGACAGGCTGCAGTTATCCTGGTGTGTGTTTTTCCCCACCCCACTTTTTCCTTCCACTCAACTTTCCAGTATGATTCTTACAAAGAGCACCTTGAACAAACAACTTCTTTAAAAAATGATTTAATATGTTTATACACAAATCGGCTTTATGTGGGCTGTGAACATATTAAAATCAGCTGTGGGTGAAACGTGCGCTGTGCAGTGCATTTTTTACCTGAGGCAGGAGGATAACCAGCAACAGTATAGCCATCTTTTTATAGTTGTCCTCCATCCAATGCACGAACGCATGTGAGCAGCCTCTCACGTGGATAACTTTCATCGCATCTTGCCGCTACAACAGAGGAGAAAACAAGTCTATAGGCTCCTGTATTTATAAAGATAAATGTCAAAACAAACACAGTTTCCTGTCTTACAGAACGTAGAACTTCCTGCCTTAGATGTTGCCTTAATTTACTACTTATAGCTGTTATTCCAACTTATACTAAGCCTTGCAGGGATTTATGAGTTGCTGGAAGCACAGCAGAGGTTACGGGGTTATACCCAGCTACCACGGAGACAGGACTTTTAAAATATTTGCCTTTAATTGGCTCTTTAATGAGTCGGCTCTGTATGTCCAGCAAGAGAACAGAAAACAAGATAATGAATTGGAGGAACTCTAGTTTAAAGAATTTTACATTTATGTTGATATTTCTGTGATCGCTTACCGTTTCATTCAAGATGTGGTGCCCACACAGAGTGTTGACCACTTCATTAGGCTGGTGAGATGAGAAGACAGAAATAAATATATATGCATTTCCTTCATAGAATGTAAAGAAAAACTTTCTGCAGAAGTTTCTCTTCACACTTATAAAACATTAAGAGTTCAGTTGCTGATGACTTGAATAGTTTTCCTGCCTCTCCCAAACTCAGCTAACAGATTAGGAAGATAAATTATTCACAGGGTTTTCATAAAGCGTGCATTAAGTGTTGTAATTGTTTAAGCAGATAAAGGTTAAGTGCCATTGTAAAAGCTCCAACGAGTCACTTCTGGCTCTGAACTAATATGTAAAAACCGTAACATGGAAATGCTGCTGTAGCAGTATTTGCTTGCTTACCATTGGTTGTGGTTGTAATATTTCATGCTCACCTGGGTCATAATACAGCAGGTGTAAGGGACTCCACAGGCCAGCGGGCCACGTCCAGAACATTTGTGGTATACGTTGACTTCCCAGTCTTTAAAATCTTCACCGCCGCAACACTGAAACTGGCAGAGACGAGAAAAAATGTCAGAAATCAGAGGAGGAAAGGTGAGAGGAAAAACAACAGGCAGAGAGCAGGGTTTCCAAAAATGAAAAGGAAGAAAAAAGGCGATGAAAACAGTTTGGAAAACAGCATTAATTTCTGCTGAGCTGACGAAATGCCTGCAACATTTCAGGATGAAATAAGCAACAATTAAAGATTTACATAATAAATGAGTGAATGTGCTTCTCTGTGCATCTGCACAGGTGTTTGAATAGCCGGGTGATATACTATAGATATATACTATAATTGTAGCTCCATTTAGCAAGTCATTCACACTATTCTCACGTCCAGTGAGAGATTTAATTACAACAATTCTACATGGAGCAAATGGCAGTTCACTGCATAAACCTCCCATCATGTATTATATCCTGAATGAATATGAAAACAAAATGAACGAAGCTTTCAGTTTGTCTTCTCACCAAAAACACAAAATCCACATTCTCTGATCTTTGCTCCACATTCAGCTGACATGTGACAGGAACAAAATGAACGGTTCCTCCAGAACCAGTAAGTGGAAACCAGCTGTAATTTGGTTCACAGAAATAAACAACACCCCAGGATTCCCATTATTGCTGCTTCTTTTTAGGTGTTGCTTGTAAAACCCCTGGGAAAAACAAAACATTACTTCACAAGGAAAATAAATGAGTTCCAATAAGAAACTTAAGGGAGGTAATTGCCTTGACCAAAGAGTTGGCCATTTGTTCGTTGGACTGTTATCAGGTGTGATAGAAAGTATTGATTGTTTTTTTTAGCTTGAAAGTCAATATATCTCATGGTGAAACGCAGCGCTAAAAGAAATGCAAAGTATTCAGATCTGTTTAGTTTTTCCAAGGTTTGGCATTTAACAACTACAAACTCTAAAGTATTTTACTGAGATTCTATCTGATACATGAAAACAAAGTAGCACATGAATATTAAAGAACAAAAAGGAATATTTATTTTTCTCTAAGTGAAATGCTAAAATAAGAGTGGGATGCATATGTATTTCACCCCCTTTTACTTGATACCCCTAAAATAAAATCCAGTCCAAACTGGATCACATCCTTCATTTGATGGCGTATTATGACCACTCTAAGAAAAAAATTAAATAAAAGTCATAAAATTATGAGAACAAAGTATTGCAAGAATTAAGTCGTACGAGAATAGAGTCAAAATAATACGAGAATAAAATTGTAGCATTATGACTTTATTCTCGTATTATATTGGCTTTATTCTCATAATACTGTGACTTTATTCGCTGAATATTTTTTTTCTCAGTATGGCTATAACACTCAGTTGTACCTTCACAAGTCATCCAAAGAGTAAAAGTTAAATTAAAAATTAGCATTGTAAGCTTTGAAAATCACACAGAGCACAGTTCAGTTCATCATCTGAAAACGGAAAAAGCATGGCACAACTGAAAATCTACAGAGACATTTATGTGTTTATCACTTTTAGCTGCATTTATTTGCATGAAAAGAAGTCCATAAATAAAGCCTTCTTGAACATTTTTTATTATTCACCTTCAGAGTCTCACATTAACCAAGTACGCTTAAAAAGAAAAAATATCGGCACAAAAAATACTTAAAGCCAATCCGAGATGCAACCAGTAAAGCATTTTTCTCAAGGTAGCCTTTCCACAGTATTTATATCCTTAACATTCAGAGATAAGCTAACATTATTTGGATACTAAACCTGTGGAAAAGGAACAGTGTTCTCAGTATTTCGACAGTGTAAAATGCTGGCACTCCAGTCGTTTCATTGAGCTAACGCTGTCTCTCTTTATGAATCCCTTTCTGAACGTCAGCCTCAGAGTGTAAACACGGACAGAAATGCCGGAGCGCCACAGTATTAGCTCAGCTTGCCATTCAATTACAGAACCAAATATTTCACTGAAGAAGAGAACTGCAGACAGAAGGAGCGGAAGAGACGAGATGTAAAGAGATATGATGAATAAAAATGAGGAGACACTCTGCCAGTCGTAACTAGTGTACAGGTATGAAGCCTGCATGCTGGGACGTTTCTCCCACTTCTCACAAAGTTATTTACTTCTGATTGGCTTGAGACTAAAAAAACAACAACAAAAGAGTAGCATACAACAATCATGGTTTTCTCTTTTTTTTTAAAACTAAGAATTACAAATCAGATTTTAATGGCAGTAAGTAGGGTTGGGCAATAAATCAATAAAATATATTGTGATAGACACACAATATCTGATCAATACACATCTGATAGAATGTTCAATAATTTAACTGAACTTTGATCTAGAACTGCAAGACATTCTGGGGGATATAGCCAGAGAAAAGGCTTTAGCCGCTCAACCTCTCACAACCAGCTAAGCATGTTTGGTGGAATCAATTCACTCACTCACTGTCTAGTTACCTAGCAACTCACTCACTCACACTCTGGTTACCTAGCAACTCACTCACTCACTCTCTGGTTACCTAGCAACAACCTGTTGAGTAACATTTGCAGTAGCAGTTTAACATTTCGCCACAGTGCCTCATAACTGCTTAAAAATAAACTGTGGACAGAACAAGAAAGTTTGGCAGTATTTCAGATATTTAAAAACAAAAACAAAAAACCAAAACTGATCAATAACTAACAAAATGAAACACTTAAATTTTGATACATTTCTCAGCTATATGGTCCAGTCCTACTACAGATATATGTAGAAATGTTATGCGCATTAAAAGTGATTATAAGATTAAAAAGCATCTGGACTCACCTGATGTGACTAATTGTTCATGTCTCAATCAAATCTCACAGCAGTAGGGCTGTTGTAAACGAATATTTTAGTAATCGAGGTACTCGAATCATTCGAGGAATCGTTTCAGCCCTACACAGCAGTGCCCTTTAACAATGTCTGGCTCTACTGGAGCTA